CAATTGTAATGGGCTTTCGGTAGATAAACTCGGAGTGAATATTCCTTCTCCTGAACATGCAAACACAATTGATGTCTGTAGTACTGGAGAGTATATAAAAACTGAGGACATCTCCAGCAGCCTGCAGCCTGTGTGCGATACAGTTTCCAGTAGTGACTTGTGTACGACAGGCATCGACATCTGCAGTTTCAGTGAAGACATAAAACCAGGGGGCTCACTTCTCCTTAGCGTTGAGGAAGTTCTCCGGAGCTTAGAGACAGTTTCAAATACTGAAGTCTGTGACTCTAATTTGCAGCCCAACTTGGAAGCAAACATGACTAACGGTCCTTTCCTGCAGCTTTCTCCCCCTCCTCTTAGCCATAACATTTTCATGTCCACAGACGCTTCTCCTCATGGGATCTCCTGTACAGCAGCGACGCCCAAGGTAGTGAAGTTAAACAGAAAGCGGTCTCGATCAGAAAGCGACAGTGAGAAAGTTCAACCTCTACCCATTTCCAGCATCATATGTGGCCCAACACTGGGAGCATCAGCTCCTGTAACAGTGAAACAGGAAAATAAAATGTCTTTGCAGCCTATTGCAACTGTACCCAATGGAGGCACCACTCCCAAAATAAGCAAAACTGTGCTCCTGTCTAACAAAAGCGTGAAAAAGAATTTGGAACATGCCCCTAAGAAATCTCACCCGAAAGCCAAACCGGGGGTGCTGAAAACAAAAGACAAAGCAAAGGAGAAAGTTCCTAGCAGTAATGTTATGCCGGGAAGCCCAACAAAAACTGTGTACAAAAAGCCACAAGAAAAGAAAGGGTGTAAATGTGGTCGTGCCACCCAAAATCCAAGTGTTCTTACATGCCGTGGCCAACGCTGCCCTTGCTATTCTAACCGCAAAGCCTGCCTTGACTGCATATGCCGTGGCTGCCAAAACTCATACATGGCTAATGGGGAGAAGAAGCTGGAGGCATTTGCAGTGCCAGAAAAGGCCTTGGAGCAGACTAGGCTTACTTTGGGCATTAATGTGACAAGCATTGCGGTGCGCAATGCCAGCACAAGCACCAGTGTAATCAATGTGACAGGGTCACCAGTAACGACGTTTTTAGCTGCCAGTACACACGATGATAAAAGTTTGGATGAAGCTATAGACATGAGATATGACTGTTGAATCTTTCTTTTCCCTGCCATCAGTAGGGGAACTGCTACAGTTTTAAGGCAGCTATGGTTCTGTTTAACTTGCTGGAGCTCCTGCGTTTAGATCACTTGTATCAAGTGTTTTTCATTGCTATGTTATGTGTATTAGTGTCTGGGAAATAGTTGCAGAAAATGGAGGAGTTACCCTAAAACTGTTTTTAGTTCTTACAGCACCTCATAGTTTGAGATCAATTGCTGATGTAAATGATTCTATCACAAGATCTTTGGCAAGGAGTATATTAACCTCATTGTACTTGGTCATGCTTTGTGCTCAGTCAAAGCTTCTGCTTAAATGTAGAAAGTGGTATCTAGTTAGTCCATCTAAACTGTGCTAGATTATGGTGTAAATAATTATTGATTAGTTATTGTCACCATGACTAGAAAATAACCTGATATTCCTGTAGGGTATACAGCCCTGAGCTGGAGAATACAGTCTGAAAGGGGTAGATAATGTCTGAGTGTGAGAATTGGTTATCTACTCTGTAGAACAGCTTAAAACTAAAACAAGATTAGTACATACGTTGAGAAAGCTTGTTGCCCAAAGAGCAGCTCAGGCTCCAGAGGAGGACCAGGAAGCTCAGTTGGTCAGATATGAATGGCGAGTCCCCTTTAAGAACATCATCCTTTTTTCTTGACAGTTCTACAGGTCATGTTCCTGACTCTTTGGCTGGGGTGAGAAAATTACTTGTACGCAAAGAAGGCTCAAGTTTTAGTAGCACCATTCAGTGCCTGGGATACAGGGAGACTTCCACAGCAGCTATCCCCAGTGGGGCGGGGGCATTGTGTGTCTGATGAAGTTTGTACTATAAGAGGCCTGGGATCTATCCCCTTGAGGGTAATTCTTCACTGACAGGTATCTTCTCTCAGCTAGGTCAGAGGATCCATTGCTATCTAAGGTCAAGTATTTTGGATGTTTATTAGATAGAACAAGCTACAATAACTCACTCTACCCAGAGTGTATCTCATTTTTCGTTGAAAGCAGCTTGCAAATGTCAGTGCTTTTCAACATGGGCTAAAGGGCTCCAAAAGGGAAAAGTCCCACAAAGTTGTCGAAGTGTTAAAATGAGAGTGTCTTTGTATCAATTGAGCAACTCATGCAAAAGAGTTTTTGTCAGTGTAATCCCTGAATAAGAAGAGTACAAGCAGAAGAATTTAGTCTTGAATTTAGGTCTTTGTTGGCAGCCTAAAAAAGTAATTTTCTTTCGTGAAATTTCTCTTCTTTGGATGATACAGCACAAACAAAACATGGGCTGACTAGAACACAGAACATTACCTTCTGATTTAAAAGCTAATTCCTGTTTTGACAGCATGTTAAATAGTATGTGAACTTTTTGCGTTACTTTACTGCTTCCACCTTTGCTTTTACTCATGCAGCGAACCCTGCACGCTTTCTGACCTAATGTGAGGTGTTTTTGATTTGGCACAAAGCATGTACAATGATGGTTCCTCACCTAAGAAATAAGCAAAAACCTTTGGACACAAATGACACCTCCTTTTGTTTTGTAGTGTACCGTGGTGTCATTCTCTGTGAATGTGGTCAGATCTTTTTGTTGGTTTTGGTTTGTTTCTCCCCCCGTCTTTTTCGTGGGGTGGGTAGGGTGGGGGGTTAAAGCCATAGGAAGAAAAATGTGATGTACGTGTCCAGTCTGTACTTTTTTTGTTTTTGTTTTGCAAGAAGAGTTGAAAAATATTTTTGATAATGAGTAAATGGTGGAAAATGCTTCTTAGTATTCTTGTCTTTATTTGCCAACCCAAGTACCCAGGATCTGTGTTTTTTAGCCCTCATGAATGAGATTTAACAATGTCCTATTAAAATGTATTTAGTTAAACTTGTATGTGATTTTTGTGTTGACCCAGAAGGATCCTGCCATTTTCTAACTTGATGGTTTGATGGTGACCTACTAATGTAAATCTGTTTATTAGTTCACTACGTGTAAGAAAAGTAGCTGAACCAGAGTCTGATTTAAGGCGAGTGAACTGCACAGTGTGGGTTGTTTCTGAATGCTTTTGCAGAGCTGTTAAAGTTTTGCTGAGATTGTTGATGGTACATTTATTAGGACTTTCATTAAATTAAATACATAGTACCTTTGCTCCAGAAATGTGGGAGAACTTGGAATCTTTACTATCTCACTGCTGCATTAAATGTGGTACCAAAAGTTGGAGAATTTAGGTCAAGTGTGTTTTGGAACCATGGACAGGAGAGCCCTGATCGTTAATGTAAAACTGCAAATGGTAGATTCAGGTTGTTTCTAAAACCATTTCCTTTTATGCTGCCACGTTCTTGAAATGTATATTAAAATTCAAATTGATTTAATAAATGTTAGTTTTCTAATTCTATTTTGCAACTGCTGAGGACATCAGTGTGGCATATGTTGAACTTACTGTCTAAATGCCACTTAGTCCGTTGATGACTAATTCTGTAATTGTTTAAATTAGGGTTGGCTTGGTTTGGTTTTCTTAACCTCCTGGCTAACTGTTCTTGAATAAGCTGAGCAAGGGAAAGGATCAGAATGTTGGTGGAAATAATTGAAGTGGTTCTACTCTGAAAAACTTTAGTTTCTGATTTATAGCAATAGTACTGTGTGGGACCTTCCAGCCTTGGCTGTGGTCAAAGAGTTGAGTGGAAACTCAGCCCAATGCAGCCCACAGCAAGGACTTGCCCCCTGCTGCCTGTATGCTGGGAATCACTCATGGAGAGCAGTCAAGGGGCATTTTAGCTCCAGTTTAGGCTGGGCTGGCAGGTGTTCCTCCTGCGGGCTCTGGAGCTGGGAACCGTTCTCAGCGTTAGTGTAAGAGGAAGCTGCTGCGGGGATTCTTTTCATATAGGAAGTGTGTGATGTTTCAGCTTTCTTCCCAATCCGCTTGAAGACGGTGATTAACTTCCAAACTTTATGGAAATCCTGTAGTTTGTAGTGCTGCATCAGAAAAGCAAAGCAGTTCATCAAATGTTTTGCTCCGGGAGGCTAACTGCCTGAAAGTTTGTTGCAAAGATGGGAAGAACAGAACTCCTTCTGGACTTAGGGTCATGTGTAGTGGTACCAAATTAGTCTAGTGCTTTTGCCCATCCTGATGTGTACATGTGGAAGATGCTTGTTCAAGAAAGAGTAGACATCTAAGTTTTCATTTTGGGTGGAAAGGCTGTTTCCACATAATCATGTATGAGTGAAATCATTGGTTGGGATTAAATCCCAGAGGAAGGGGGAACAAAACTGGAAATGACACTTGGATTGTGTTGACCTTGCTGCTCTTCCTGTAGTTCATTCATACAGGTACTTATGGCAGGGCAAGGGGCTGCGTGTTCAATGGAACACTGATAGATTTCCAAGGAAGAGATGATACAGATGTGGCACATGAATTGTGCAAAGATTCTGGCATGATCCAGAATAAAAGCTGCTTTTTACCTGATGGAAGAAGCCCCTCCCTGACATTGTTGTTTATACAGATTACACTGATTAAAAAAACTCCTTCTATTGCTAACTATCTAACAAGTGAAATGGCAAGAAGAGTGGCTTTGTATGTTAGAATAATTCCAAGTATGTGGCACAGCTGATGAAACTCCTTCTGAAAGGTACAAACTATTACTTAAAGTGGTACTGAGAATGTTGTGAACACAGCTTCTTTGGTCTTAACTATTAACAATGGTCACACTGCTTTGCCCCAGTATTTCTGTGAAGCAAGCCTGGAATTTTGGCTTTGGCAGGCTTGCTGACAGGTAACTGGATGGTGTGAGCTCAGCAACAGCCAGGAGGGCAATTTTGGGCAGTAGCTAGAGATGAAGTGAACAGTAACACTGCCCCACCACTGAGCAGGGCTTGGACTTTAAATTCCAAAGTCTTTTATTTGCCAAAAAAGAAGAAAATACAAAGTAAAAATACAAAGTTCAAACCATGCCAGCACAAAATGTCTCCAAACTATTTTTACAAAGTATGAGAACCTTTATTATTAAATATTTGTTTCTAAACCCATCACCCAGTGATAGAGGGAAGAGCTCAGAACACAAGGGTAAGCACTGTTTGCATGTTTTTCTTACAGTAGCTCATGCTCTTTTGCTGAGGTTCATTTGTGATTGCATAGACCTAAGATACTGTGATTTAGAAATGCTGTCCTCCAAAGCCACCATTAAAATGACACTTTAGTGGCCTTTTTGTGGCCTTGCAGGCCTATTTTGTTTCCAAAGCTAAGCACCGTGGCTTGGTGAGAGTATCTCGAGTCACCGTTCTTAAATCCTTAGTTCAGGAGATCAGGAAAGTTTTCCGCAGTGTTTCCTGGAAGCTGGAGCCTGACTGGAATTTCTTTTGCTATCCGCGTCTGTTTTGCAGCACTGCCACTCGGTGGCAGGCCGCAGGAGGGGACCTTTATCGGTGCCAGGTTTGCTGAGGAAAACTCATGCGGCAGTTACTGCTGAGATTCTGGAAGAAGAAAAATCAAGCTAGTACCACTGCAGCAGGAGCTGTGGTTGTATTGAGCTGTATCTCCAATCTTAGTACTGCAGAAAAAATACTTGCAAATACACAGAGAAAGAGCAAGGGTTTTGTAAGGACACAGGACTGAGCCACGCAAAAGCGAACAACTAGAGAGAACAAATTAACAAAAGGGTATTTTGTTTTTATCACGCAAAACTGAATTTTACTCGCTTTTCTGGCTATTCATACGGAAAAAGGAATCCAGCTCCTAAGACTTCAGCTTGAGCTGGTTTACAATGAGCACTGCATGATCTGTCCTTCTTTAAAAGTATGCAACATCTAAAGTGGTGTTGGCAATTGGGGATGGAGGCAAAGTCAGAGTGAAGTGGGCTCCTGCAAGGTTTCTGTGTGGTGATCCTTGGGTTGCTTCATTCTGGAGTGCTTGCTGACCTCTGAAGCTTCTTCTGGACTGTCCCAGAAAGAAAAGGACAGGAGCTCCCAAATTTACCTTGCTGATTTGGAAACCTTCCACCCAGAGAAGCTGTGGACAGGGCTAACTTACCCATTTCCTTTAATTCAGCTGTGGCTGCTGAATGGTGGTTATTTTCAAAGTTATTTGTGAGAGAGAATGGATTTCTGCTCTTGGAGTAAATAATACAAATTGCTGCCAGTTTTTCACTGATAACACGCTAGCAGTGGTGGCTATAGCTTATCTTTATAGTCACATTTAAGGTAAAACATTTGCTTAAAATGGGTTGGGTTGTTTGTTTTTTTTTTTTACTTTGATTAGCTTTTTGTGTTGATGTAGTACAAAGCATGACCAGGGTTTGGAATCACTTCACTTTGTCATAGCAGCAATGAGCCTCTGTTTGTAGAAGAGAGGGTCCTGGGTTTGGGGACCAAAGAGCTCAGCAGAGCAGCTACAGGCTTGTCTGAATTGACTGAAGTCAAACCTTGAAAAGGTAACTGGCAATTTTTACCAGCTTCTTCCAAAAAAAGGCACAAGTTCAGGCAGACTGGTGTGGTGTGAGATGGAGAGCTGAACTGATTTGATGGGTTGAGGTAAAGCCCATCTGCAAAAGGCATACAGGGAGAAAGACGAAGTATCCTGAAGCAGTGGGTGAACAGAGTGAACAGGAACAGCAGCAGTGCGCTTGAGGCACAACCCAGCAGGAACAGAAATGCCAAACTAAGAGAGTGATGCACCAAAGGATGTTGGGGTACCAGCTGTTCAGGCCACCATGGGCTGTGTCTGCATCCCAGCACACATCTGCTGCTTGAGAATAGGGTGTCACTTGCTCAACAGGTGAGTCCTCAAGTCCTTCATCCCACTTCCTCCTAGTGTGAAAATGGAATTGTGCATTCCCAGGAATACAGGTCCTTCCTGGAAAAGGATGTATCTCTGAACTCCCATAGGGAGGAGGAAGAAATGTAATACACAGAAGGGTTGTAGGATCACCATCTCTGGAGAATCTTCAGAAATTGGCTGGATGAGGTCCTGAGAAACTTGCTCTAACATTGAAGCTGTCCTGTCTTTGAGTGAGGAGGTGGACTAGAGACACATGGAGGTCCCTTCCAACCTGACTTAATCTATTAATCTGTACAACAGCATTAGGAGAGCTTCTTTTCTTTGAGGCACAAGGGCTATCCCAGGTTAAAAACTTAAAGAGACAATCACCAAGTTACTCTGGATTGGGGCTGTACATAATTTGCAAACTGGACATTCCAGTACTGCTGCTTATGGAGTTAAAAGCTAACAATGCTGACGTAACATGGAGGTTCAATTTCAGCCTAGAATGGGGTCAGGTTCTTCTTGTTCCTTTGAGGAATTTTGTCTTTGGAGAGGTGTAAAAAGCTAAAAGGCCATTCTGGACCTTGACAGTGAAGCAAAGCAAAGAACTACTTTGCCTGGGTTCCTTAAGGTACAACATGGATGGAGCTTGTTAGAATTAGCAGTTGTATGACTTCCATCCCATGTTCATTTCTGCACCCATGACTTAGTTTCTTCTGCGTTTGGGCCTTTGTAGAATCAGCCCCAGTAAAGCTTTTCCCCTCAAGCTTATAGTCATGATGGAGATGCGATTCCAGCACCCTGGTGTTGAACAGAGCTGCTCGTGTGCTTGCTACATTCAAAGAGACTTATCCTAGTAGAGATTTATCCTAGTTTGGTTAGAGTGCTCCCTCCTGCTTACATCTTTTATTATGGAATGGAAGTTACCTTGCAGTGTCTTTCCTAATAACCTGGGCATCCAGAATTTTCCCAAGTATCAAATCCAGGATCCTGGGTGTGTGTTTATGCTTCTGGATTTAACAGCAGCTTCGTTCAGGAAAAAGAAAATAGATCTCCAAGCTCAGTACAATTGAAATCTTCCTCTTTTCTGGAATTCGATCCTGAGGAGAGTCACTAACCTCCACCAGGCAGCAGTGTATCCCACCTGGACACTGGCAGGCAGGCATTGTGCTTCAAAGGCTCCTGGAAAAGTCAAAGCTGCATTGTAGTGATCAGCCAATTACTTATTTGGTTATTAACACTCAGGGGTATCATCTAGGGATTAGTGTTCCATTGTGCTAGTGTGTTTATACTAAACACACCCAGCTAATAGTCTGTGTGTGTATACACAAGTTCTCTATTAACTGGATGGCTTCTGGCTTTAGTAAGGAGGTGCCTGCTTGAAGAACTCATCATGGCATTGGCAGTTGTCTCCTGCATATTCTGGAGGCAATGTCCTGAGGAAGCATGGTCTGATAGTCTTACAGTGAGGTAAGAGGAAATACAGTGTATACACACCAACCAAGCAGTACATATTTGAGCACAATTATGACAGTTAAAATAAAATATGACAGCTGAAACCTATCCCAAGCTGGAGAAGGTAAGTACCAGATATTGCTTGTGTGTATATGATGGCTAAAATTGAGAACTGGTAAGAATATGTTATAATCACCTCTGTGCTGAATCATAGACAGCTGCTAGTCAGCAAGGAGAAACATCTCCAGCAGCAGAACATGTGCTATTATTACAAGAGCCACCAGTTGTGATTCTATGAAGAAAGTAAGGTTAATTTTGCACTTAAAGCAATAGTTTATTAGTTTTCTCTCTGAGACGGGTGGAAAGTATTACAGACCAATTCTTTTACTAGTTAAAGGATCCCTCTGGTGACAGAAATATAGCACATGAGGGTTAGATTTTTTTCTTCACTATATCTCAGCTTAGGCTCTTAGAGAAGGCTACAGGTTAGCAATACAGGAGAGCAGGAGAACACAGGGAATGGATGGAACTGGTGCACACAAGACATGGCAGTTTCAGCATACCAGCTGAGCAGCATGTCTTGTTTTGTAAATATGCTACAAGGTACTTCTCCAGAGACAAAACACTAGCCTGAGGAAGATCCTCTTAGACAGAGGAGAATATGTAGAAATGTTATCTGTATCTCAGATTCTTAGACAAACATTACATCATGTAGTGCTTTAACTGTCCACACATTCATACAAGTAAAATAATGTCCAATATCAACTCTAAGAGCTTGTGGTTTAAAGCACACCAGGAGACTTCCCTCTCCCCACGTGGAGGCATGTTGCCTTGGCTTCCAGGACACTGAGAAAGAAAGGGAACTTCATTGTGACTTGGTTTTAAAAGGTTTCTAGACATACATTTAAACTAAGTGAATTTGGCAGCTCTTCTGTCACTCCTGGTATAAAGTCAAGGGGACAGAATGGCAGAGGGCTGAAGTGGAAAACAACCACTGTAGATCTCGCATGCAGTTATTACAGTTAATCATTTGATGCTGGCATTTATTGCACATTTGGGGACACAACAGGATTTATATATAAATGAAAAAAGGTGCAATCACCATTTTTAATGAGCGTGCATGATAACACATTGTAAAAAGCCTTTTTATAGAAATTACCTTAATGCAATTACACGGGAAAAGAAAAGGGGTTCTCAAGTTACAGTGTACAAAATAAAGCACATTGCTCCAATGACAGACTTCAGAAAAATCCCTAAGTGTCTCGGGACAGAACACTATCCAGTTTGAAAGATACTGATTAAATGTCTTCCATTTCTCTATGCTGAGAGATCTGAGATAACAGCTAGTTTGTCTGACTTGTCTCCAGTTTCAGGGGGAGATAAAACTTCATCTGTGTCATAGTCTTCTTCAAATGATCTGCAAAGATAAAAGGTATGTCTTTAAAAGCTGCGTTTTGCTGGAAGTGTTTTCAGGTAAGTTATTTCAGTGGCTACTAAACCAGCTGGCTAAAACACAGTTGCATGCAAAATATATATATCCTCGTCCAGGTTAACAAGACACTGAAAACAGCGTGGTATTAATCAGTATTCTGACAGCTGACATGAGTTTGTGCTCCCATCCATCCTCATTCCTAAATTCTGGAACAACTTTTCACCGGTGTTCAGCATTCTGAAACTCAAATCCACTTTCAGTAACAACTGTCAGTAGCTCACAAGTAGCATTAGTAGTTCAGGATAGAAATAAAGTCATCCAGCCACGCATCAGGGCCCTAGGGGAGAGTTGGCTTTCTCAGACTTGCTCAGAAACACCTGGTTTCCAAAACATCTTCTGGCTTAGGGTATGTTTTGACATCCACAAATGAACAATTGTGGCCATTCTGTTATATTCCTCTCTCACTCCAAGTTTAACATCCAGGCCTTAGCAGTTATGGTCTGAGGAGGTTCGGCTGTGAATCCTCAGCTCCAGCCAGTTACTCTTTTCGGGCTGGCTGGGTTCTGTGCTCTGCAGCAGAGGATATTGCTTTAGGTCTCTCATCCCATTCCTATTCCTGAGAAATACCATTTTTAGTGCGCTCAGTCTCAGCACACTACAGGTTAGTTTCTCAGGGCTCCCAAGAAACTAAAATTCTTCCTTTTGTTCTGAAAGCAATGCTGCTTATGAAGGAAATGTTGCAGCAGATGTTTCAATGGCAAGCACAGGAATAACTCTAGTTTCTTCATGGTAATCTGTGCTGCACAAAGGTTAACTCCTCCAATACCCCTTGGACGATGCCAAGAAAGAGCTCTGTACTGCTTCTTGTGCTGCTCTTCCCTTCAGTAACTCAGATGCAGGCAGAGCAAATCCTCAGGTGCCTGTCAGTGTGTATGTCCTGCTGTGGGGAGGATTCTGTGCTATAGTATGGTGATCCCTATGTGAAAAAGAGACAAACAGCAGAGATCTTCCTGGACAACAGTGTTATCTCTTCTATAAAGGAAAGCACCTGCTTATTAATTCTGCCACCTTCTGGATTCTTGCATAAGTGGGAGAAAGAACAGTCTGGATCCTACACCAGTAACTGTTCTGATCATGCATGTAAAGATTGTCAGTACACAATGTGCACGCTTCTTGCTTCCGTGGTACCTGCTGGGAGCTGGGATGGCTCTGCCTCCTGCACCCTTACCTGGGAAGGGACTGTGCATGTCTCTCTGTGCCTTGGTTTCTCTGTTTCCCTGGTTAAAGATGATGCAGCTGAGGAAACCTCTATTTCCATCTGAACACTGTTCTTAGGGATGTTCCTGCTGTGTCCCCTTTTCCTTCAATCTCACCAACTTCTGTCAGCTTTCTTCCTTCTGTACGTGAAATATGACTTCTGTCCTGTATTGTTTATCTTGCACATACACCAGCCCTTGGAGCTCCATTCTACTATTTCTTTCCAGTGCCTTTTGCTTCTAGACTAAACCTTCTCATGTCTGCTTTAAAAGGGGCTTCCTATTGTCCTTTCCCAAGTTAGTTGCCTTTCCACTTCACTCTTTTCTCCTTAAGTCTCAGCAATGCCTGCCTTTCCCATCTTTGAAAAAATCCCACCTTTATGGCCAAGAAGCATCCAAAGGACAGCTTTTCCACAAGATTATCACTAAAGATAAGTCACCTTCTCTCCTTCCAGGCCAGTTTAAAAATTTCAGTCCTATAAATACAAATATGGACTTGTGCAGACTGAACACCCATTCCTCAAGACTCAGCCATGGCAACTCTAGTTTGTTCAGAGAAGGCAAAATACTCCAGGAACTTCTTTGTCCATCTTTCCAGCAAGCACACATTTTGCCACTGGGTGGTTCAGTGATGTGCTTCTCACCCCTTTCCCTTATACTGCCAGGTTCATGAAAGCAACTGAGCCATCAGCCATCAGGGAGGCAAGAAAAATGGCCTGAGCTGCCTAAACCTTATTTACGTTTATCTGCTTCTGTGTCTTTGTCCTGCCTTGGACCAGAATTGCCCTGTTGTGTGCCCCCTCCTTGTTGCTCAGGTGAAGGGGATTCTCTTGTACCAGCAGCTGATATAAGAGGGCCTCTGCCTCCTTATTTCTCTTCCTATGAAGAAATACCTCTTTACATGAAATCAGTTGTGGTTTCCATGTATATCAGCTGGTTGAAACTGGTTTCTGGAACAGTGAACGAAACGGTGCCCACTTCTGCTAGGCAGGCCGTAGCCTGGACTGCAAAAAAGGACTTCTGCAAAACAAATGCTTATATCTGCACAAAAAGCTTGTGTTGGTCAGCTTCAGCTATTGGTTCTGCCTTCAAACAATGTGTGTGTACATTCACCAGGGAACAGACTCTCTTCCCTGAATCTCATGCACAGATGTATAAAGCAGAGCATGGCTGAGAAGTGTTCAGATGAGCTTAAGCTTCCAGTGGAACATGATGCTTCATTATTGTCTTGAGCAAGACCACTCCTTTCTCATCTTATTTTTGGTGACTACAGCTCTCAACAGAGTCACAGCAGCCTTGAAGTCACTGAGTATCCACTATGTCTTGATGAGATTCCTCTTCCAGGACCAGTGCTCACACATGGGCAAGCCTGCAGACAGCCAGAAAGACACTGACTGGGTTTAGAACTTTCCATCCATAGAAACTACGAACAAGGCTACGTCACAAATGTGGTACACACCAATTCGTCTGTGATTGCTCAATGATGGCTATTTTCAAATGTTAATACAAATAATAAGACAAATATCAGTTTCCTTATTTTGTCAGCTAATCTTCTGGTATCATAGAGCTCATAAATTGTCTTGGTTTTGTCCCCACTCCCTGCCTCTGTCATCCTCAAAAGACAGCAGAAATAATGTATGTGCAAAAACTCAATGCCTGTTTCTGGCAAATTTGTCTGGGCACCCAGCTCTTTGTTTTTCCTTTTCCATTCCTTTTTTCCTGTGTGGTCTGTTGCTATGCTGCACAAATGAGATCTAATCCTGCTGCCATGACTACAGAGCTTTCCAGGGGCTCTTAAAAGCAAGCAGCAAGGTTGCTGACATGCTTTTTACAGGAAGACACAGAGCTGTTTCTGACAGACTTCAAATATCTGACATCACGTGTCACTTTTCCTCTGGTTTTGGTGAGTCTGGGGATTCGTGATCCTGCAAAGCTTTTATGGCAGATTCCTATTTCTTTCCTGTGCTGAGGACACAGGTGTTGCAAAGCAGCTGCACGGAATACAGCAATTTTATCTTCCATCCATGTTACCTCATTGCATTGTGAAGGCCACAAAAAGGCAAGGCTGCTCAAACGAGATGAGGGAACAGCCCATAGCTGTTCGGATGCACATCATAGGGAGAAAGGGAAACACTGCTCTCAACAGCATTGCAAATCTCTGTGGCTAATTAGTAGGTGCTACTGTTAGCCCAAACAGTTTTCAGTGGGGGAAATCTGACAAGTATGCAATCTTCTCAGTACTCTTACTTTAATTACTCAGCAAATACTGTTCAAGAATGGATGAAGTCCTGAATCATGCAAGATTAACATGGGGTAAGCATTCTTTGGATGTTTGTTATATTAACCTTGAGACTTTAGAGAAATATTCTCCAGAATATATTAACACAAGTGCAACTCAAAAAGACAATTGTACTGAGTCTCCATCAAAAGCCTCTGCAGGAAGCCCTGGTACACAGAAAAGTTATGGAGCAACTGCTCTGTCTAAATTCACTGACTCTAAAGATAGCTGGAGTATCTGTCCATAATTTTATAGAAGGCTGCAAAAAAAGTCTGTAGTTACTGCAGAAACCATCAGTATTTTAAAGAAAACATCTCAACAAACATATTAATTAGAATGTTGAAACACAGCTAAGAGCACAGGCTGGCAGGCATGGAGTTTGACAAAAGTAAAATTACTTGAATAAAGAAAATCTCTGCTTGGTATAATTAATGTAACATAGCTCCAGCTTCTAATCTATGGTAGCGTGACATGGTCAATGCATGGCCAAGACCAGCCAAAGTAATTTGATTGCTTTATTTGTATCGTTGCAAAAAGAAAAAGGCTTTGTCCTTTTCCCCAGCTTCTTCATTACTACAGCGTGTGCAGCTGATTCAAATGGCTGCCCACAAAGCAGCCCATTGTGACAACCTCACCAATACCGCATTTGGAGCCACTGTTTCAGGCTTCACATGCTCCAGTGTTGAGTTCAAATGGGAAGTCCACTAAACCTCTGTTAAAAATGGCATCCACAAACTACTAACCCTCAGCTGGAGCCAAGGAGTGCATCTCAAGGGCAGAGCAATGCCTGTGCTTACCCTTCTTGCAACTGTTCATTCCCAGACTCTTCAGCCACAAGAATCTCATACTCTTCGGCAGCATATCTGTCCCAGTCAGAGGGTTCAGGGCCATCATTTTCAATGTCCTAAAGAAATCAGACAGTCAAGCACACTACGTCCATACAGCTGTTTCACATGTTTAGACCTACTGCAAACAGCAATGCTAGGAACAGTAAGCAACTATACAGAAACAGCTAATCAAAAATTGCCTATAACTGAAAGATTCACAATTATCTTAAAGTTCTCTTAATTTTAACATCTGCCCATAAATGACTGTGAAAAAAAATACATTACTTAGTCAATAAAGCTGACCTGAGCTGCCAACAAACAGCCTACTTCCTTTCAGAAATGCTGAACATGAAGAACCACACATTTTCTTTGCTCCAGCACAGCAAGCCCTGCATCTGTGCACTTTGTAACTGGTTAAAGAACTTAGTGATTTAAAATCTTTAATGAAATTTTAACTGATGTTTTGAGGAAATTTTCACAATTTGCTAAGTGTCCTGGTTTTGGCTGGGATAGAGTTCATTTTCACAGGAGCTAGTATGAGACTATGTTTTGGATTTGTGATGAAAACAGTGTTGTTAATTAAGGGATGTTTTGATTACTGCTAATCAGTGCTGACACAGAACCTAGGCCTTTTCTGCTCCTCACACCACCCCAACAAGAAGCTGGGAGGGGACACAGCCAGGACAGCTGACCTCAACTGACCCAAGGGATATTCCATACAATATGGGATTGTGCTCAGCATATAAAGCTGGGGGAAGAAGGAGGAACATGTGGAGTGGTAGTGCTTGTCTTCCCAAATTAGGCATGATGGAGATTTGCCTTCCTGGAGATGGTTGAACACCTGCCTGGCCACTGGAAGGAGTGAATAAATTTCCTGTCTTGGTATGCTTTGCTTGCGTGTATGGCTTTTGGTTTATCTATTAACCTGTCTTTATCTCAGCTCATGAGTTTTCTCATTTTAACTCTTCTGATTCTCTTCCCCCATCACACCGGGGTGGAGTGAGTGAGCAGCTGTGTGGGGCTGAGCTCCCAGCTGGGGTTAAACCAGGACACTAAGTCTGTGAGAAGGTATCAGAGCAACATCATTATAAACATCTGTCTCTCTGCCATTTACTATAGGACAGGGAAAATAAGTTACCCCCCAGGGCCCGCTTGACTGCTCTTACGATGATCCAGTTTAAGCAAGCAAGCAAACAAACAAAGAAAGAGGGTGGTTCTGGCCTGAGATATATTTAAGCCTTGGATCATGGAACCACAAAAGTTCTTACAGATTACATGGGAACAGCTGGGAGGGAACCAGAGTTAATTTTGGCACCCCCTTCACTTTACTGTACTTTGACCAGATAAGAGGCTTCTGGGAGATAGTCTCTAAGCTGTAGTCACATCTGGTTTCACTGGATGTGCAAGGGGAGCCAGAAATGAGGGACTTTACACCAACAGCTGACAAAACTCAGGTCTCTGAACATCCCACAGTGGTGAGCAACAACCTCAAAATACAACAGCCACAATTTCCTCCTGTATTTTCTCTGCTTGGGAAGAGAGGATGATGAATAACTGCAGCCAGGCACAATCTGCAACATTCAAAGCTTCCATCTAGTCCGCTACATGTGTGACCCAATCATGAAGCTGGCATCTCATCTGCGTCAGTCCCTGTGTTGTAAAGAAGATCTGTTTCTTCTGTTCTGCTTAGGCTATGGGAAAATTGCTAGTGTTAAGGATCAGGCACCAGCCCAGATGTTTAATGAACTTCACACGTAGCCTACAGCTGTGTACGGGAGATGGAAAGAGACAAATGGGATCTCAAGTTCTGAATCTCACAGCTCCTTTCCAAACTGAGTTAACCACTGTCCTGGGTTCAGCAGTAGCAGCCATTTTATTCCTTCTTAGTAGCTGGTGCAGTGCTGTGTTTTTGACTTTCAGCCTGGGAACAGTGCTCATAACACCAATGTTTTTAGTTGTTGCTAAGTAATGTTTACCCTGACCAAGGACTTTGTGAGTTTCATGCTCTGCCAGGGAGGAGGGGAAGGCGGGAGGAAGCAGAGACGTGACACCTGACACAAACTGACCAAAGAAGTATTCCATACCACAGCACGTCATGCCCAGTATATAAACCGGGGGAGTTACCCAGAAAGGCTAGATCACTGCTCAGTCAGGCTGGGTATTGGTCGGCAGGTGGTGAGCAGTTGTATTCTCTTCCCTTGTTATTTCCTTTATCATTATTATTAGTGGCAGCAGCAGTGGTTTGTGTTATACCTTAGCTACTGGACTGTTCTTATCTCAACCCATGGGAGTTACATTCTTTCGATTCTCCTCCCCATCCCTTTGGGAGCAGGGGGAGGAAGTGGGGGAGTGAGAGGCTGTGTGGCTGGGCTTAAACCACAACAACCAGATTCCTTTCCAGTGCAGCTGAACCCACCCTGCTCTGAATTGAATCAGTGCAACTCAGCAGACTCTGGTCATTCGCTCTAAAATTACACACTGCACTGCCAGTGCTGGTGTAGTAGGATCAGTGATGGTAACCAAATCACAGAACTGTATTAGCATAACTACATATATATATGTACACACATGTACATATGTAGTATAAAACTATATATATAGATTAGTATAACTTGTGTTACTATTATACAAGTAATACATATATATAAAATATATATATATACTACAACATATATATATATATATATAAAATGTATTTCTGTAGTAGTATAACTTGTGTTGGATGAGAACCAGGAGGTGTCTAGTCCCAGCCTCTGCTCAAATCAGGATTTGCTATGAGGTCACATCAGGGGGTTCAAGGCTTTGTCCAGTCACATGCTGAAAACCTCAGAACAAAAGCTGCACAGCCTCTCTGGGCAACCTGTTCCAGTGTCTGACAGGCCTGCTTGGGGAAAAAGTATTCTTATATTGAGCTGGATTTTCCCTTACATCCCAGTAGCATATATGGGGATTTTTTAGAAATCTGTATTTAGAAATAAAGATGATTTATACCTTTTGCACTGCAAAAGGATCCCTCTGTTCATTGTCCAGATATTTCTCTAAATTGAAGAAGGTGTTGTAGAATACATGAGCCATTCTGCACCTCTTCAAGTCTCGCAGGGTTACTCTTCCTACAGAAAAAAAAAAACCACATTATTGTGCTACTGAGTTTTTACTTAGTGAGAGACTGGACCTGTTCCTTGTCAGTCTCATAAAAGTTTTAATTATAACACCGATATTCTACAATATTACATTTCTTCCCAAGTCAGTAAAGGATTTTAACACTATTCAATAAATGTATATGTTTATTAGGCTTGTATCACACATACATATGGAGGTCTTTCACATTCATGAGAAATATGAAAGAATGTGAATGGGGATGGTTCAGTTTCATAATCTAAGCTGTCAGCACTTCCCACAGCTGCAATATACAAGACTTGTAGCTCCAGTTCCAGCAAGTTAATTCACAAGGTCTCTTGTTTCAGTATTTCAAACCTCCTGATGCATAACATGGGACAATAGCCAGTGTTCAGACTTTGACCTTGTGCAGTAATTTCAGCCCTGTGATTCTAGCACTTACAGATGGATTTCACAGTAACATTACTCTCTCAGTTCATCACAGATCTAAGAGGATGGAAACTGTCATTAAACAGGACTTACCTTCCTTCTCTGGCTTAACGAGATCAAGCATCTGACACAGCAAGTCATGAAATGGCAGCGGTTCTATGCCCATCACTTCCATCCGCTCACACTGCTCCTCATAAAAGTACTCCAGTTCATACATGGAGAGCACTCCATCCCCATCCAGGTCCATGCACCGAAACCAGTACTCAATGCTAGGAAATAGAGACAAGTCTAGTGAAAGCACAGCACTGCGCTAGGAAATCTGTACAGCAGAGATTGCAGCAATGCACATTCCCCTTTTCTTATCCTCTAATCCTCTTCTGCACAAAGGATGGCATAAAATGAGGTACAAAAATACCTTTTGGGAAGAATCGAGACACAGGCCAACACTCAAGAGCATCTCCTGTTAACCTCCTAGGCAGCTTGTGAGCACAGCCATGTTCATGACGTACTTCACCTGGTAGCTGTAGCAAGCGTCCACTGTGCTGCAGCTCAAGTGGCTCATTTGTCTCTCTCTGATTCAGTGGCAAATGTTGGCTAAATACAACCAACTCTAAACTGAGGACACTGGTTGTGCCCAAGTGACCCTGGTGAGTGATGAGGCAGGCATGGTATGCGCTTATTTTCTCTACTCCTTCATACAGAAGGCAATGCTTTGAGGCAGCTGCACGCTACATCCTCCCTTCACCTCTGGGCAGTCCAACATTTATGAAGCTGTCTTCTCATTTTCACTCATAAGAATCTCTGTCATAATCACATGCAGATCTAGTTCAGCTCTGCACAAATCTCACAGTGGCTGTACAAACCACGTACACAGGCAGGTTCTACAAAGTGACACAGCAAAGTTTTCCTACAAACCCTTCTTACACATTTACTACATATATGAAGGGAACACGCCCATCCGCTGGAAACATATCATGGGTTTACCCTCAAAGCCAGTGTTTCATGCCATGGAGTGACCAAAGGGATTAATGACTACCAAGGCACTTTAAACTTAAAAGAAAACTCTGCTTCTACACAATTTCTCTGAGAGAAAGGCAAATTATTTGATCAAACATTGACAGTAAGTTGCTTTCTTCTTAATAATCACTGGAATCCAAGCTGCCATCTCTTGTAGAAAGCAGTAGGTCACAGAAGTTTTGTATACTCTTATCTGCTCATATCAATGCTTTTACTAAGACACAGAAATCAGTCAGACCTTGTAGCACTCCTTTTGTCTTCCTCCGAAATCAGGAGCCACACAAAATCAGCGTAACTCATGCGGCCTTCCTTTTGAACTTCGTTGCCTCTGAAACATACATGAAGAAAAATAATAAACAAAAAAACCCCAAAACCAAACCACCAGGCTCCTAAATACTCAGGATCACAGAATCATAGAATAGTTAGGGTTGGAAAAAACCTTAAGATCATCTAGTTCCAAGCCCCCTGCCATGGGCAGGGACACCTCACACTAAACCATATCACCCAAGGCCTTGTCCAACCTGGTCTTCAACACTGCCAGGGATGGAGCATTCACGACCTCCCTGGGCAACCTATTCCCATGCCTCACCATCCTAACAGGAAAGAATTTCCTCCTTACATCCAATCTAAACTTCCCCTGTTTAAGTTTTAACCCGTTACCCCTTGTCCTATCACTACAGTTCCTAATGAAGAGTCCCTCCCCAGCATCCCTATAGGCCCCCTTCAGATACTGGAAGGCTGCTATGAGGTCTCCATGCAGCCTTCTCTTCTCCAGGCTGAACAGCCCCAACTTCCTCAGCCTGCTTTTATATGTTATCAAACACATTTTTCAAACGCCCCAAATCATTGATAAGAGAAAATGGGGCATGGTCACCCATTTAGCCTGTACTCCATGCCCTCTGCAGCACCCATCTTTGTGTGCTTCCCCACAGGCACAGCACTTGCTGCCTTGCTGTCACTGCAGAGCTGAGGCTCATCTACCACATTCCCTCTCACAACAAGTGCTGGGCTGTTTAGTTTTCAGTGACTTTAAAGCAGGGCTCTCCAGCTATCCCTGTGCCACTGCAGGGCACAAACACAGTGCTTCCATGTTCCCTCCAGCTATGCCCAGCTTATTCCACAATGAGGTCTATAGGTGGTCATCCTATGGGAATTTTGTACTTATTTTCTTAAGACACTCAGAAGTGTCACTCCATTTTCAGGCAGCTGCAGCACCATGTTGGAAACCGTTCTGATCAGTGGGATTTCTGAGGGTATCCTGCATTTCTAATCAGCCTGACAGAAATTCCCTTTGCTTCCACCCGCAGCCAGGATGCTATTCCTCACCTCACCACAGCGCCGCTGAATATTCGCTCAATAATCCTGTTCGATAAAGCTGGAAACAAAGAAAACATGGAGAAAATGAAACTACAGGTCACAGGAATACCTAGTCAGTTGTTTATGCTACATCTACACAAAGCCATTTCCCACTACTGAAATAATGCTCTATCTATACTGTCTAACCACTTCATGGTCTCTTTTTATCAGCATTTTGTAAAAACCAAAGATAACTCTTGCAGTGTATCTGCTTTTGTACCCTCCCAAACACTATTATCTTCCCACAGATATGGCAACTGTCTTGTCTCGATTCTTGGACATGGGCAGTGTTGTTACTCCTACTTTGCTGCAGTAGGATTTCTCACATAAGCAAATCCTGATGATAGGAGACTATTTCACTGTGTATTGCAAAAGAAGTTCAGTTATCAAGTAAAAACCACACATTAAATCCCTACAAAACACTTCTTTGCAGAGCACAAGCTGTGGCATTTCTGCTGCAGGGAAGCACAACGGAAACCAAGCATAGTTTTAGGTGAATGGGAAGGCTTTGCCATTCAGGAAACGTGTGCTATAGATTGTTACGTCAGAGACACAACAGCCAAGCAGTAAGAAGTCCTGAGGACTATACCTTCCTAGACTGCTGACACCCTTTGTTTAGACCCCTACCTTAGCTCCTTCTACACATTCTCCATCAGTCCTCTAGTCCTGGAACACTTCTGACACACCAGCCAGGCAGACTCAACCTGTACCACCCCTCATACCCCCCCGGTATAGTGCTGACAGGCTGCTGTAGCACTGAATTGATGGCTTCTTCCCTTCACCCTGCCCACAGCACCCCTTCTGTCTTCAGCTTCCCAGTGCACAGTGCTCTCAAGCTTCTTGTGCAACAAATACTTCATCCCCACACTCCACCCTCCCAGCAGGGACCAAGTCTCCCATATCATTTACCCTAAGTCAGGTCCATCCTCACCCCAAGTCAGATCCGTCCTCACCCCATCCAGCCCTATTATCAATGCTCCTGACTCCTGTGACTGCCACACTCACCCAGAACCTCCATGGCCTTCCCATAAATATCTGCACTCAGAACACATGAGCCACCACACCACTGACACACGCACACCGCTACAGCATTGTCATTCTCACACCCCTTTACTTCTTTCTTACTTCAGCCCACTATGATCTTGGCTTGTACAAAGCGTCCCCATCCCAGAGCTCCAGCAATGCCTTACAACTTGTCACACGCCCAGCTCCCTATAGCCCTACATACTAAAACAGATCACCACATAATTCACCTTTCCTGACACAGCCAGTCACGTGTCCAAACAACTCATTTTCCCAAATCTGATTTTCTGTCCTAGACCTACTTTCCCCAAAGATGCAGCTACTACAAAAAGAATCCAAGAAAGCTTTGTTTTCAGGATTAAAGGTGCTGGTCAACAGCTCAAGCTCTTGTCCAAGAAATTATATCCTAAAGTCTTAACAGCTTCGCTGAACTCTGGAATATTTCTCATGCATAATGAGACTGCACTTCAGCAGTCTCTGAAGTTCATATGGGTTTGTCCTTGTCCCTACTTCCAAGTTCCAGCAAAATCCTTAATAAATAATAAGCAAGCTTCAAGACATGGTATTAGCTTCCCCTTCTAGCAGTGGCTCACACCTGAACAGAAACTCCCTCTCTAGCTGCTCATGAAGAAAATAACTCGTACTGCATGTGTCTGTGTCTAAGCCCCTACAACTGTCTCTGTAAATCAGCATTTGTGTAAGAAATGGATGGCTCCATTTAGATTTTTTTTGAGGCATCAAAACAACCAAATTAAAGCTAGGCTTTACTCTTTAGTGGGAACATTCTATTTTCATCCATCCCCTTTATCCCACCATGGCTTAAAGGCAGCATACCTTGATCACTGTACCTAGCCAGATCCTTCTGGCTGATGTAAAGATCATGGTCAGTGTCCAGCTCCCAGAATTTACAGTATATAACATAGAAGTGCTCATAGGAGAAATAATCTGTGATCTGATTTATGTCATCCTCTTCTTCCAAGAGAGCAAGAGTCTGAAAGAGTACAAATAAAGTGGGAAGTTAAACCTAGACAAAGAGGCAGTTCAGCAGCTGAAGTCCTCCAACCTCTGGGGAAGTTGGGTGAACACAGCTCCAAGAGCTAATCCAAAAATACAGCCTTTTTCCCCTGTAGGAGATTTTGCTGCTTCATTCCTTAAGAGGCACTTACAGAGCATCTGGCTCAGTTATCCTGGTTAGTGTGTGTGTGTATATGTATGCACCATATTTCTGCCACTCCTGTGAACAATTTCTGCTAATTTTCAGCTAAAGTGAAAAGTGAGGCAGAGAAATAACACAACTGCTGTCTCAGCTGGGATCCATTATTTGTGGAACATTTCTAAGCTGCACCAAAGACTCTTAGAGCCATTTACAGCAGCAAGTCCATAGTTCTCCACAAGAACCGAGATCCATCTTTACACATCACACATCCTTGCCTGGCTCCCAAAAGGCAAAATCAAGTCTTGCTTCAGACTCATGCCTGAACTGGGGAAGGAGGGATGGACCCCAAGCAGCTCAAACCAATCATACTAATTTTCCTGGGCTGCAGCTGGCAGGAATTAGACTGGTTTAACTGGGAAGCTTAGACAGATTTCCAGCCATGACATCTGTTAGCATGGCTTGTTAGAAAACATTTAGAGACAACTTTCTTGTTTCATTCCCACTTCACATCAAAGTCTACTCTTCCCTCTCATGAGGGTATCACATTTACCAGTGCCAACTCCCTGCTTGCCCTTCTCCTAGTGCAGAGGATACCAGACCACCTTTCCTGTCTAATAAATTATGGCTGCAGGAATATATAAAAGCTAACAGACTCCAGTGAGCTGTAAGTCTGGCCTCCCCTCACAGCCCCTCAGAGGGAAGGAGGTGAAACACAGCCCAAGAGCTCTATCCCAGGAAGTTGGGCCTCTAAGCAGGCAGGCTTAGTGGCCCTCCTATCCATAACCACAAAAACAGATGCTGTACTATATGTAGGTACTGATAGTTAACATCAGCTTTCAGTCATCTTGACATTCAAGGAGCCCGACTGAGTCTCAGCAAAACTCTAACATCCTGCTATCCACAAGGTTCAGTGAAGTTTCAAGCACTACCATATGTACTGTTCTGGCTTGCTGGTTCTCAAGTCTAAAAACTTCTGATCAGTCACTCACTAGTCTTCAGATTCCTCACTGGTCTCTCCATTTCTCTGCAGGTGATAACCACTTGGGGAGGTTTTTCAATAGCTTTTTCTTTTTTCTTTCATAGCTCATGCCAAAATATGCCATCTACACACAGTAAAGAACTGCCCAAGCAAAATTAAGTTCCTTTAGCTGAACTTCCCTGCAGCAGGAGATGAAAGAGTAGATATGCAAGGAGAAAAATGGGAAGAGTGCATAAAGGGACAAAATGAGTGAATAAAGATGCAGGATAAGTTGAGAAGATTTGTTTGTAGCAGACTCTAGGGAAGAACTAGCATCAGAGAGCTTGGACTGGCATGAAACAATTCAAGAGAGCACTGATGTCTCCATTAGCTGATGTGATTAGTGGGGCAGATGATGTCTCAAAGGAGGAGTGTGAATTCATGCTTGAGGTTTTTGAGGAAGCCAGCATGCTATATCTGGAAGGGAGAATAGGATGCAATAGGGAAGCCTCACTGCTTTAGCTGAGTCCTTAACCTTTCAGCCTAATGACTTTTAGGTTGGGCTGGACTTCAGCAGCCTTAGACAGTTTTAACCTGGTACTCTCTTGGCAAAGTACACAGGGAACAGATATCCAAATCCTGAAGCATCTGCCCAATATAACAACATATCACAGGGATTGTAACAAGAACCAAGCTTCATTTATTAACTTTTCTGAAGGAGTCTACTGCAGAAGTGGAGATCTGCTCCTGAGATACATACCTGACCAACTGTCAAGTGGGCTAACTGCTGGCTGGAAGTCAGGAAATTGGCTGTCCTACCCACCACCTACTGTAGGCAATCCAGCAGCTATTCCTGGCTGCTCAATGAGCCACTTAAAAATAGTGCACTGCTGTGTCTTGCTTCCCTTCCTCTCTGGCTGGGTCAGGAGCCAAGAGCCAATCTGCCTGATGTAGGTTTAGAGTGGGTGCACAGTCGCCCCTGACCTTCCATCAAGTGCACTCTTGGCTACTCCAGTCAGAAAATCCCAGAGTGGTTTGGGTTGGAAGGGACCTTAACGCTCATCCAGTTCCAACCCCCTGCCATGGGAAGGGACACCTTCCACTAGAGCAGCTTGCTCCAAGCCCCATCCAACCTGGCCTTGAACACTGCCAGGGCTGGGGCAGCCACAGCTTCTCAGAGCAACCTGTGCCAGCACCTCAGCACCCTCACAGGGAAAAATTTCTTCCCAGTATCTAATCTAAATCTCCCCTCTGTCACTTTAAAGCCACTCCCCCATGTCCTGTCACTACATGCACTTATGAGAAGTCCCTCTCCAGATTTCTTCTAGGCCTCTTCAGGTATTGGAAGGCTGCAATAAGATCTCCTCAGAGCCTTCTCTTCAGGCTGAACAAGCCCAACTCTCTCAGCCTGTCTGGTCTTCTCTCACCTCAACTCAGACAGAATTCCTCCACTACCTTCAGCCATCTCCTGGCCCTGAGCATTTGCATTGGGCCTACCTCACTAGACCCCAGGCACAGCTCCCTCGCTATACAGTACAGAGCTACAGGAACAAAGGTCTGATGCATTCCATATCTTATCCAGGCAGAAACCAACATACTTGCAAGAAGTTGCTTTTCCTCAGCTCTGTTAGAGTGATCTTCCCAGACCAGGATCGGTTGACTGTGTAGAATACTCTCTGTATAACCTGTAACACATGAATAGTGCTCTTGAAGTCAACTCCTGAAATATACCAGTTTGGGAACATAAATGCAGAAACTTTATTTTGTTTATTCACTCATCTTAAGGGAAATTCTTTCTGAAAAATCACTTTGTGGTCTTTTTTGTAGCTACTACTATCCTTATTTCCCCATGCAGTCTGAAAGGCACATGTGTTTCTGAAACAGTATTATCCATTTTGACTTTGCAAATATTTTTACCAATCTTAGTTCACACATCTGAGCATGCAGATACATTATTTATGTCAGGAAATACGTTTAAAGTGCTCACAAATCACTTTGAAATAGTTTTTCAGGTTTCAGGCACTGTAGTTTGCATGGATCTCAACTGAATGCTCTGCACAAGCAAAAATAAAATCAGGACTTTAGAAGAGGAAACAGGACATGTAAATGAAAGCCACAATTGATGTCTGACCTATTGTGTCTATAACAGTATCTCATCTTCTCTGTGGCTCCATTGAAAGTAAGCAACTGGGATTATCTCTCTGCATTTATCTTAGGAAGGTGTCAGCCTCATTTGTCTCCTTTACTGATCTGCCTCTGGTGAAAGTAAAAAGCATGGGGGGAAATACACAGACTTCTGAGAACCCAAGGGAAACAGTTCATAGTCAGAGACAGTATGCTCCCAAGCACCTAAAGAAAGTAAGCTGAACCCTGAATAGCCTGCTCTTTCCTAGCTTGCCAAATATCACAGCGGGGAAAAAGTAATGTGTGACCAAGCAAGCAAGTACATGCAAGAATAAACTTAACAGAGGAATCAACAATTTACTCAACAAGAAAAATTAGAAATATAATTAACTTGACCATCAGCACTGAAAGATATGGAATAGAGTTCTTGCTGATGAAACCAAATACAAACAAGCCTTTGATGTCTCCAATATCAAGTTGACATACTATTATAGAATCCTGGTAAACCTTAATAATAATGCATGCTTTTCCAACATGCAAATTAACTTTACACAACAATATGGACATTATAGAGATTAAGCCAGTTAAATTAAATGGGATGGATTTGTTTCATAACTACAACTAGCTCTGAGTAGGCAATCACCGTTTAAGGGTCATACTTTTGACTCAGTCACACAAGTGCTGGTTCTTAGTCCAGAATGGATCTGGAACCAAGTATGAGATTGCTGCTAACAGTCTGCTTTGGGATACACAGATCAGTAAGCCAGTAAATGCTGATGAGCACAAATTGATTTTTGAAAGCGACAAGAATGATCTGAGGACTTAAAATGCATCCTCAAGAGAGAGAACTAATAAATTCAAATTAGATGAACATGACACCTATTGGTAACTATTCTGGTCCTTGACAGCCTACATGTGGAGATGTGGGATAGCAAGAGGACTTTTGGTCTCACAAAATATATAACTAGAAGCTGAGATCAGCCTAATCCAGACAGATAAGAGTGCATTACTTTTACCCTGCCACTGATTAACCACTGGGACCACTCCTAAGGAAATGCTGCAACTATCACTCCAGACTTCAAAGATGAATGTCTTTCTGGAGTTAGGTATCAATTCATTTAAAAACAAACAGAAAAACCTAACTATAGGAGTCATTGAGTAATGTCCTATAGCCTGTATAATGCAAGAGGTCAGACTAGGTAATTACAATGATCTTTTCTGGTCTTAAGTACAATGAAAAAAAAACTGTATGCTTGCTTCTTTTTGAATGCCTGTGGTAGTCCCTGCCATTCTGGACTACATTATTGTACTTTGTTTGGCCTTTACTTCCAGATTGCACAAGATCCCAGAGACTGAAATGGGTCTCACCTCATATTATCACACCTGACAATGCTGCAGCTACTCCTCAAGATGCATCATTTTCACACCATTTCAAGGACTCAAAAATAACAATCCGAAGAATCAGAAAAGGGACACCTAACCAGCATTTTTTTGCTCTGCCTTCAGGAAAGACAAAATATCCCCCTTTATGACATCTAAGAAACAGTTCCCTTATCAGATCATATTCATATAGACGTTCCAGCTGCGCTGTCCTCACTTAGTGGTAAAGCATTCAGAGGTAAAACGGAATCTTCTTTCATCTTTTACCACGGCAAGTCACTCAGTGCATCCTTTATTATTCAAATAATGGTCCAGTTTCAACAGACACTACATAGTGTATATTTCAGTAGAAAAATGTCAATACCTCTCTTCTATATTTCAGTAGAAAAATGTCAATACCTCTCTTCTTCAGGTTATGAAAACTAAGCTGTCAAAAATAGCATTTGGAAAACATCCTAGAACACAGTTACACAACCTGAGATAATCTGCAGCGTTCAAGCCTTACACCTTACGGAAAGCCAAAACTAGTTTCATTTTTCCCAGCATGAAAGATTATTTATTCTAAACTCAGTACAACAGCCTTTGGAAGGGAGAATCCCTTCCTATTTAACCATTATCCTCATGTAATCTACCTCCAGGACCCAAACCATTGATAGGTGAGTTATAGACATTTCCCCCATTTTCCCATTGAAGAACAAAAGCAATACCACTTCTGGAAAAAGCCATAAGACTTTATTAAACCCTCCCCTTACACATTCGCATTGGTAATACTGCATAAGCCAAAACATTTTTCAACAACCAATATGTTTTGCCAAGCTGTTTTTAGTTGAATCAGCTCTTCAACAACAGCATGCAGTGCTAACTCAGAGCGTTGTCTGAACATTCTGCCAAAAGTCACATTTTAAAGATTTCCCAATAAATGCCACATGATATTCCGCACCATCTTCACCAGCTTCAGGAGTCTGTCTCTGTTGAAACAAACACAAGTAGTTTAGTATACTGGCAATACAACAGCTCACAGATACTGATATAGGTAAATTACAGCTTATTGTATCCAAAAGGCGCCTCTAAAAGATGCAGAGGTAGGCAAAAAGAAGCATGTGTACACATCTTACCCATACTAGACTGCTAGCTTATGCTCCAGGTGATTTCAATCAAGTGATGCTGTATCCAGCAATGGACACACAAGTCAGTCTCCTTACAGCCCTTCTCTGTAACACAAAAATAAACTTAAACTCTTGCACTGGCAGCAAATATAGCATTCTGTCAGTGTAAGTAGGTATAAGGCACTCTACCTTGAAGGAATCAAAAGGATCCAAGTAGTCCCAAAATCCAAGGACAAAGCTGTTTCCTTCATTACCTCCTGGTGGAAATACTGAGTTTTGTAATATTGAAGAGACAAAAGTGCCAAACTGTCTGTGAAAGGAGATGTGAGAAATAGGAACTCCTGGTATCAGAGGAGAGCCACTGCTGCAGTGGGCCAAGTACTGCCACTCCACATGGCAACAACCTGACCCAACAGACCGTCTGTCTCCCAGTGTCTTGACTCTGCTCCAACTCAGTGATATGTCCGAGGCCAAACATTGAGCTCAGAAGGTATTTGTCTGTTAGCACAGACACCCGGAACAGCACTGGCCTGCCAATGTGAGAAGTCTAAAGGGACTTCTCAGCTTTGTAAGATTTGCTTCTATATGCATTCAACTCCAACGCAAACACAAGTTTCCTGTCTCCATGGGAGCAAGCCTAGGAAGTCACCTCTGTCAGAGTATTGTGAGTGACAGTGCCTGAAGGCTCCAACTCTTCAGTGGAGAGACAAGCACAATCAAGAAGCACTAAGGAGCTTCACATCCTCATGAATGGTCTGGTTCTGAGACTGCTTTGTGACGGTCACACAGGGCCTTGCCCAGGCACAAGGGAAGTTGTGGAAAAGGAGAGGAAGAAAAAGGTGCTGCTGTTTTTAGTAGCAGCCTGCACTTCACTTATCTTGGAGTGGAACCTCAGCTTCACACAGCTGGTCTCTCAGATCAGAACATGCACTGCATCCCAATGAGGTCCAAAAAGTGCAGCAAGGGTGATTATGTAGGGCTTACTCTACAAAGATTTTTGTTTCTTGCCTTTATTCCCTCATTTAGACCCTGAAATATACAGGAAACAGCATATGACTTGAGAAGAGGAAAGGCAGATGCACAGAAATGCTTTTGTCATCAGCAAACAGCTAGCAACAGGACACTGTATCATGACCCACTCACCAGCAAAGAGCAACTGGTTGATATTGCAGTCAGAAACCAATGCTAGTATGACCTTAAATCTCTCAGCTCTCACCTTTACTTTAAGCAACACATATAAGGGTACACGTGCCACAGGTACCTTCCACTCACCCATTCATGTGCCTCTAATCCCTTTGCCACTGTTATACCTATTCTGTCCAGTTACTATGCTTAATGTATCTATTGCCTTGCTCCATAGGGACTAAATATGTTGATAATACACAGATGTTCACTGTCAGGTTCAAGTGCATCTGAAACATTTAGAATTGATTCTTGTCACACATTTTCATAAAATATTAGTGTGACAGCGAGGTTAACCCATAAAAAAACAGTGTCTTTCCACCATCAGTGCTTTAAATGACAGGAACAAGCCTGTGTCTGTCAGTAATCTCTCAGCTGCCAGTACATGGTGCAGCTGGCCCCCATGCAGACCTCAAAGCAAATAGGAGAAGCCTTAAGATCTAAAGCCCTGCTGCGATACAGCTCCCATCAGGTCTATCATTTATACTTTTTACCAGGTTTATACTCAATATGAGACAGGCTAAAGGCTTAGAGAAAGTACAACTTATTCTGTAAAGTAACATTCTAACTGCTGACTGCAACATTGGAACAAAACTACAGAACAAAGCCCAACAACAAACAGCAGAAACCTCAAAGACTCAGACTTGATAGGCTTTCTGGTAAGAGCAAGGGGCAGGAGACTGGTCAGGAGACCACTGAATGCAGTGGATACTTTGTACCACAGAGCAACCACAGATTCTTTAGGTCTGAGTGACAGAAATCTTCAAGCATACAGCCTTCCACATCTCCACCAAATGAGGACATCTCGTTTTCTTTCATGAGTATTAAAGGCCAAAGAAGATGTTTTCATAGATTTGCTTAAGACCAGAAAATCATTATTAACCTTTTGAATAACCTCTTGCACACACAGGCAGATTCATTTTGCCTTTGGAAGCCATTCTTCACATAACTCATTGCCAATAATATTAAAAACACCTTTAAAAAAAAAACCAACAAAAACAACCCAAGGATTCACTGATGGAAACTGACAAATCACAAAGGGAGGGTTGGTATCATAGCAGATCAAAGGAGCCAGCCTACCGTCGTAATATACCGCGAATGGAACTCCGGAGCATCCTTCAGGAACGTCAGGCCAGGATGCGTTTCCACCACATCCTGCAAGATAAGACCAAATAAAATGAAATAGATTTTCTTCTCCTTTTAATGTTTAGAAGTTACTGGGTTTACAAACCGATACTTGTGCTTACTTTTGAAACTGTATTTGCAACATTAACGGTAAAACCAAAATGACATCTTTTATCTATAACCTTCTCGTATTATAAGTAGAATACATTTTCTGGGCAATACGCACCTGTTGGGCCATTTTGATTTACTTAAGGACAGAAAAACAAAGGAAGAGAGTTAGTGAGTAGATGAAAAATCATTTTCATTGAATGAGACAAAAAATTAGTTAGTTGGCCATGCAACTACCTCCTTTCCAAGACCTTTTTCTTCCATTCATTGAAGATATTAACATTTATTAGAGCTACATGTCAGAAATAAACATTCCTTTACAGGTTGAGAAAGTTACCTTTTTTGTTCTCCACAACAATGAAAGCTCCTGTGAGCCTTAGAATGCATACAGATATGATCACTGCTTTTCCAACTTGAACTACTTTAGAAATGCCTCTTTCTCAAGATCAGCCTTTTGCAAGTCAAATACATGACCAAAGCCATAGATAAACTGCTCAGGCCATGAACGATCAGTTCAGATCCTGTATGAATCAATATTTGTGTAATCTCTATGTGTGACTCCTCTACCCTTTAAAGGAGTGTTCAAAGTTTTGCTTGTCCATAGCACAACATGGCAAAGGGATAAAGCAGACACAGTACCCTTAGGGGTGCGATATGACCAAATACTGGCCAGTCTAACTTGATGTTTAATATGATGGTGTAATATTGCTAGTCTCTGGTTGACTGACAAACAAGATTGTACATGCCTTTGATTGCACCAGTAGCTAAAAAGCAGAGCTGCAATCAGCAAAGGCAGCGTGCCCAGTGGAGAAAAGATAAAAGCAACATGAGAAAATATACCCATCACAGTCCTGGTTTTGAGACACAGAAATACTCAGTGCAGACAAAATCTTTCCCCAGAGCAGCATCTCCTCAGACGTTTTGTACAGAGGGCAACACAACGTGAGAAACCTACAGATATGTGGGAAAGCTCAGAAAAAGCATCAACAAATTATCTGAGGAGCAGATGGACCCGATTTATAGAGAAACCATGAAGAAACCTATCCAGAACCCGCCTAAATGGCCACAAATAATTAAAGAATGATACTTTGCTTTGTTAAAAATATCACATGGGAATAAGAGGAAAAGAAATTAAATCAGGATGCACACACTTAGCCTAAATATTAGGAAATGATAAATCAGCACTGAAACTTGTGCACTAGCAGGTTTAGAGGCATATACAGAACAACTGGAACTGAAAAAAAATTGGAGATTTCCACATATTGTAACTGAGAGTCTTACTACACAAATTCAATCATAATGGTCTTATCAAGCAACTTTTACAACTTTCCTAATAAGCTTTTATGTTGTGCTTGACTATCAACAGCACCATGTATTTTCCCCAATAACCACTTAGGGAAATGGGTCAATTTTCAGACTGGTTACCAGATACTGATAAATATTAATCCTAAGAGACTAAATAAAGCTTTGACAATCTTCAGTGACTACAGCAAGACATGTAGTTGGTTGGTACTTTTGCAAAACAGTCCACTTTAAATGCTTATTTCTATTTCACTCCAAAATAAACCTCACCAAGGAGCTGTTAAATCAAAGGTCTGCAGCTCCTTTGTAAAGGTTTAAAGGCATGAAAATGGAAGTAGTTACAAAATAAACACAGCTTGCTTCCCCATCCCTTCACTGCCAAGCTGTTGCAGGTACCTGAAGCAGTGGGATGAAGTCCTCCTGTTCTAGGTAGTCACAGTTGGGCTTTGCTAAAAGGGACGTAAATCTGGATGCATCATCATGGCAGTTACATAGGATTCTACAAGAGAGAGAAAAAGTTACTCCAACCACACAGGAGTACTTTGCAGGACAATAATGAACTATAGACTGATTATGAAGTGCTTTATTACATGTTTGAAAGGTGTCCCTGCCCATGGCAGGGGGGTTGGAACTAGATGATTTTTGAGGTTCCTTCCAAACCAAACCATTCTGTAATTCTACGTTACATCATACTTCTACACTGTGAGTGATGCAAAATTGACCTCAGGCTACCAGCACCCATTTTCTTCAATATCTTTCAGCAGCACCAAGGTACTTCCAGCCAGTGTAGCTTTTTTCATGTTAACATTGCAGTGGTAAACAGTTTCTTACTGAAGACTGTTCTTACTTTGATTCACAGCAATATAGTAAGTAACCTGACTTTTAAAAATGCTGCATTATAGCAATTACAGTGAGAAAAACTTGTCTTTGGAATGGTGTGGTTAAGAGAATACAGAAGAGGGGCATGACCACAGTGTGCAAATATCTGAAGGATGTGAAAATCAGAGGAGTGAAAATATGTGGTTTCATGAGGGATTAATTTAGAGTAATTGGAAGAACCTAAGGAAGGAAAAAACGTTGGCTATGTTAAGGAAAACTTACTGATCACAGTCACCCTAAACATTTTTGAAATTTTGCCAGGGTAACTAGAAGCTGTTTTGACAATATTATCACAGGAAATACTTTGGGAGTCCAGGGTTAAAGGCTACTTCAAGAATCTGAAGAGCAAATCATTAAGTGAAAAATTAGAACTCTCTCTAGACATGAGATGTAGACATTTTTCAGGTGTTTCACAACATAGACTGAATAGTTCTGGAGTGAAAAAAAAGGTTAGGCAAAAGAGTAAGCCTGTTCCATCTCACAGCTCTGACTTCAAGTACAATATATCCAGAGCTCTCAATTTCAAAAAGAAGCCTTGACAAAGATATATGGAAGTGACTGTCAAACCCCAAGGATTTACTACACAGCATGCTTGAGGAAAGGAGTAACTATTAAAGCTCCCAGAGTTTTCACCTGTATGATGCTTCCTGATTTTACATTCCTTCTTCCTGTCCTAGATCATTATTACATGCCTCCTCTTCCCATTCCCAAACAGCACTCAGTTGCATTAATGTAGCAGCACACACATAAGGCCTGAGAGAAATATATCCAAAATCCACTGACATCTACCAGCTATCTCAGAATAGCTGACTTATTTCTAGAGAGCATGTTAATATATTTTATATGCCAACTATAGGCATACAGCTGGCATATAAAATAACTAGGCCAATGGAGATTTTTAAGCCATTTATTTTCTTCTAAAGAACAGACAGTGATACGAAAAGTCTGGTGGAAAGAGAAGGGGGCGAGGGGAAAGGGGTACGAGAAAGACTTTCATGGTAGGCTGCTCTTATTCCAGAAAGAGAACTCTGCATTTGCTATACTCACTTTCTCCACATAGATACAAAAGAGTGTAGAGGTACACATCCTGTCCTTTCTCCTCCTGATGCATGGAACATAGGTGCTTTCCAGTAGAGTGGGCAGCCACATATCTGTAATAAAACACCAGAAGAAAGAGGAATACAATATCAATCACCAGAGGAGCTTGCTTGTTTACACACCAAATTCATCATCGACCCTTCTACATAAGGGAAAGGAAGTGGTAAGGCACACAGGTTGGTCAAAAAGCTCTTTACTGTATGCCAAGGTTCAGAATTCAACAAAAACTTTCTGCCTTTTTAAGTAGCTGAGAAAAATGTCCTGTGAGGCTAGGAAATGGATCAGAGACTATCAAGCTCTTAAGCTCCGTCTCTGACTGAACCGCTCAGCAAGATACCCGGCACAGTGGAAAAAAACAGGTACCTCCTTCCAGAAGGGCACTCATACCAGCTGCCTCACTGACCTGCCTTAGAAAAGGATGACCCATTCTATATGAGCTGACTTCTTATTGACAGCAAGGAAACTTCAATCCTGATTATAGACAATTAATGATTAAATGCCTGAAGGTGAAAATTCACAGTTTTTGGTGTGGTGTCTTATACCCAGAACAGCCCATTTACTTTCTGCTACTTTAGTGGGCTTTTTTGTAGCATTTCTTTCAAAGCCTCGAAACTTGTACCATCATTGCTAATCCCACTGAACAGAAACAAGCCTTACAATAGCTAAATAGCACAGAGTATATCCATATAGGGACAGATGATGCAGAGACCAGACAGAAAGGTAGAGGTCTCTTCTACATCACCATCCTGCTTTTCTCAGTTTGAACATGACAGGCCACACTCAGTTACCTGTCTTGCCATAAAAATCAGTTTCAAATGTTTTGGGTTTTTGTTTGTTTTTTTTTTTGCTTGAGCAAAGAACTTGTTTGTTTTTTTTCCAGAGATAGTTTACAAATAATGCCCCGGATTCCTTAAACCAACAAACAGATACCAACCCAGTCTCTCCTTTCAGAAAAATCTTCCTTCTTGGAAGAAAAGGGCTCCTCTTTGACAGAACCTTCATTTACTTCTCAATCTACAGTGCCAAAGATGCATTCAGGGCAAACTGAACATATGAAGTGTGTCTGACAACTGCTAGTTTTAGATCAGCATTACTAAAAACCATGGATGAAGGAAAGGAAAATAAAACCACCCATCTGCATCATGCTCCCACACAAGTGCTGCATTTTGTTCCCTGAAGCCAGGAACTCATTAGCAGACTGTAGCTACTCCAAGTCTGCTGACACCTGAATTACGGATATTGAGTATACACATCTCAGTGGCTGAGGGCTAAGTGTTTTTCTCTTCTGCGTCCAAGGAGGCTGTAGGCTGCAAATGGCCTTCTCAAGCAACACTGCAAGAGCACACACAGATCCTGGCCAGATCAGTGAGGCAGCTAATCACAAAGCAGCTAGCTAGCACTACCTGAAGAGGCTAAGTTTCTACTATCTACTGAGCATAACTATGGAGGAACAGAAAAACAAAAATGCCATCTGCACTTAGCAAGAAATCTAAGAGCCATTTTGCAAATCAAAGCGAGAAAGAGCATACACATCAGGTGTGGCAAACATCAAATTGAGCTCCTTTTTGTTTACTATTTTCTTAATCTAAACAAAATGATTCAGAGCAAAAGGATATTGGTTCTTCCCCCCCAAAAATGAGAACAGCTATGAGATACTTTATTAGCTTTAGTTTCAGTCTGTCTCTCAGAAAATTAAAACCCTAGAGAACAGTTACCTTAGCAATTTTCCCCATTTCACAGATGTTTGCTTTCTCGTCTTCAAACTCTGTAAAGGCTTCTTCAATCCTGGCAATGGTTTCTTCATGATTAGTGCAGACATTTGGAAGTCCTTTAGGGAAGTAGAAACGTGGAATGTTTATGGACAAAGGGGTACTGCTGGTGGCTTTATTCACAGGCAGAACAGTGCAAGAGCTAACTGCAGAGTTCAAAGAGACTGGGGGTGAAGTTCCAGATTTCTTCTCTTGTTTACTTTGAACCTGAAAAGATAATGAAAAACAGACACTTTTTAACAGCATGGCACACAGAGCAAGAGGAATTAGTTTGTGCTCCCAGCGACTGGAAAGATACTGGAAACCAACAACAACTAAATTATAGCACAGGGATAAAAACGCATATATTAAGTAGCAAATAAAATGTTTCCACAATATCAAACATGGCAAATTTAGGACACATCACATCTGCTTTTATGTAGCTTCTGTGCATTTAATATATGTAGCCTTTTATTCTATGCCTAACAGTCCAAGATCTGATTCTGTTCAGGGTACTGAGTACTGGAAAATCAATTTTTACATCAGGAATCAGGAGTAGCCAGCAGTTTGCTGTTAGGCACCCACATGATATAGCACACAGAGCTAGTGCAAAATGCAAAAGGTATGTTTTCAACTCCAGTTGAAAAGGACCCTTTTGCAGGCAAAGCACCCAAAGGTATTACTGAATCAGCACCTACAATGTTTGGCGAGAAACAAGGAGAAAACAGGGAACTGAAAGTAGGCTTTCTGCGTGCCTGTTTGAGGGTGGTCTTTCTTCCTATGCCTACCTCCTCTTTATTCATTAGTTCTATGAGCCTACCACTCCTCTCCTGTCTGTAATAAACATATGGCTGATGTGGTGATCCCACTAGATCCCCTTTCTAATGGGAATCTGCAACTTTCTAGTTCTAGCTATACATCAAGAATTCTCATAAATGGCATTTGTATTTAAGTACATCATGAGAGCCTAAAATAGGTAATTTTTCAGACAAGGGAGAGAACACTTCTTAAACTAAGAAAAGCAGTCACAGTATAAGAGAATTCAGATGCTGGAATGCCAAGAGATGACAAATTCCTACTCCCCCATGAATACACACTGTCTTGGGAAAGGGCGACAGGCTTGTCTGTTGCACAAGGGTTCAAATGCAAGAGTTGTTATTAATATTACAACAAATGTGATAAGAGGCTAATAAGGGAGTAGTCAAGTAAACACAGCTGCAACTTTCAGTTTGTTTATTCTAAATGCTTCAAAACAAAATGGTTTTAGGATAAAGTAGCCAAGTCCAAGTTCACTAAATACAGAAGAATGTATATGATGAACTGACTAAACTCTTTGCCTTATTTTCCAGGAACTTGGAGGTTTTTCCTTAACACATACTGACTATCTCAATTTACCATGGGCTTACTTTTAGGAAAGTGAAGAAGTGAGTGTGAAAGTGTCCCTAACCGCTGTTTTTACTTGCAGCTTAGAGGATATCATAACCCATTCTTCAGAGACCTGTGAAATGAGAGATGGAAGGATTCCATCTTCACTCTGCTGCCTCACTGATCTTTCTTTAAATGGGGAGGAAGTCTTCCTTCTCCCAAATGCTGTCCCATTTCAGTTGCAGGAACACTCACACATACATGCCACCCAAAGCATACTTTTATAGTGTAACTGCTCTGTACAGAACACATTAGCCTGGAGCTTGAGTTTCTTGAAGTCCTCCTGTGTCTTAACAACAGAGGAAAAGCTGAAGATCACTTTCAGCCTTCAGGATTTCTGAGTCTATCAAGATGAGTACTCATAGTCTGTATAGCCCTCAGTATAGCTCTTAACCTTTGGTGAACAAGCCCATCTGTTCTTCCTCCCATCTTCCTTGACTTTTCCTACTCCCTCACATATTGCACATCTTTGTGTCTGATCCTGAGTGACACTGGAGCAGGCCAGGTCTGAGGCTCAAAGTACTACTAGGGCTGAAGAGAACTGTGGGACAGGGTAAGCATCAGCCCGGGTTACTCTGTCTCATAGTATGACAATGCAGGTAGGTGATCTCAAATGGTGGCAGGAGTTAAGATGGGGCAGTTGTTCACTCTGTGAGCAGCAGCTCACAAGTCTAATACAAGACAACACTTCTCCTGGGTTCCTTTTGCTCTACACCCATAGTAACAAAAGCAAAACCCAGACACGTTGAATGTATCTGGAGAGGGAACACATGGCCCTAGAGCAGACACTGCTGCATATTAGAGGTAGATGAAGATCCATCTCCTTCCCATGGATGGCTGCTTCAGAAAGGAAAGCAAAGCAAGGGGTGAATAGAGCTCCCAAGGACAGGCCTTTGCAAGAAGTCTTCATCTGACTGGTAAATAGTGCGTTCATGAATCAGACCTTGGTGTCTAAGCCAAGCTAGGACTTGGAGAACTCTCTCACACCACCACTTCTGCTTTTACAATCTGCCTTCCCCGCCTGCCCTGCCTAGCTAGCGGCTTTTCCAGCCAAGACCTGACTGCACTCACTAGTTTTCACTTTCTGGATTCCAGCAGAAGGGAAATCCCTGCTGGTCTCTTACAGTACCATATTCATACAAACAATGCAAAGCTGGAACAGACAATAAGGTGCCAACTGCAGACTCTTGACTTCTATAATAGGACCTAACATGAGTCTGTCCTCAGAAACAGGTTTATTGCTCACTACTCTCTTCAGTGCCCTCATGCACTCCCAGCTGTCAGGGCTGTGATGAACTAGAAGTGATTCAAATTTAACAAACTGGTCCACAAACCAAAAGGAAGCAAACCAACATATTGTTCTCCCCATGGACACTACCTCTTCACTTGAACAATATATCCCCCTCCCTTAGGGTACAAGAGACCATGACAGCACTATGCCATTCTCCTCCTCTTCTGCATACCACATACATCCTGATATGGCACAAGACTTGAGCTGATCATCCTGTAACACAACTCTTCCACTTTGCTTTGGCCTCCACCTTCTGAAAGGCTGAGCAGATACCTCCAGGTACTGCCAAAGTCAGCAATACTCGGTGCCAGCTCACACAAGCCACAAGTCAGGAGTCCAGAATCTACATTAATTTCCTGATCCACAACACAAGCGAGGTCACATATCTATAGGAGAAATAGAGGGAATGATGCTAAGCTTCAAACTAGGGTGCCAGTTCAGACACAGGTTTGCAGCTGACCTTCCCAATAAGACTAAGTCACTAACTCTTACTCAGTCCAAGTCAAACAAGGTGGAAGCGTTGCTTGTAGACAGCTTCTTTTCAGAAGAATCTATTTCAGAAATAGAAATAAAACCTTTGAACTTTGTTTTCTTCCTTCTCATGTAAGAAATGAGCTTTCTACAACATAAAGAAAAAACCAGCAGCAGCTAGCTCCTGAGCATCCCATTCCTTAGAACAATCTTGCAAGTGAATATTCTGGAAATGGTATAACCAGAAGTCAACCACTCTGGACACAGCAGGGAGTCAATTACAACTGTTTGTGGAAACAAAACCAACCAACAAGCAACAAAGAAAGCAACACAAGGGGTAATTCTGTGGCAATTCCTTGGGAAAAAAAAGTTTCTCATTGCAAAAAGTTAAACTTAGTGCTATTCGCTTAGTCAAATACATTCCTCTAACAGAGATGTGGATTTTCAGAAAGGGCAACTAAGAATGGAAGCTACAAATACTATAATAATCTTTTAGCTTTGTTCTGAAAAGCTAATGGGCTTTCTTTTTTTTCCAAATAGGAAGGCGAGAGTAAAGCCCATTTTTAAATATTACCCTACAGTGCAGTGTAATTTACCTTAATTCTCTCTATCCACCATATAACACCTTTTGCCAGTCATATAATTTATTTAGGGACAGACTAAAACAGTGACATCTGGATTATAAATAAACCAGACAGAACTGCAGCCTCATTGTAGCTACACAAAGCACAGAGAATAAGCCTCTGCCAGTCCCAGCAGAAAACTGCAGCAGGAAGCAGTATCACATCAAATGCTCAGATACTTTCTACTCCTTCCTCCTGGCCCCAGGCTCCAACAGGATTCTAGATAATAAATTTAGCAGTTTCTTGAGGTTTTTTTTCTTCCAAATTGGATTCTGTAATCATCTCTTCTATGGGACAGTGACTCAGCCTGGTTTCTCGCAGTCCACACTGCTGACTTCATGTCTCTTTCCATTTTTTTTTTTAATAGTTCCTGTCTTGCTGAAGTCTGATGGTAACTGGACATAAGCCATCCTCAAAAGATCATCAGTTCTCCAAAGCTGACTTGTATCTATTGCCTGAGACCTTCTCTTCCTTTCCTTCCCTGAAGCACTTTCCCTTCATTGTATTTATCCGCTGCCTCTCTCACCCATCTCTAAGGACAGTAAGAACAGCAAAGTTTCATCTGCAAATGGCTCCAAACAGCCCAAGAAAGTGAGGCTCTGAGAAAATGCATTTCTGAATAGACTGTTTTCTACTGTGAATTGTAAACTCTCCTGCAGAAATAAAGTTCAACTGTAGCAAAACAAAACTGAGAATAAACTCTACTTAAGCAACACAATCACAAGAGGATTTAGGTGAGAAGGGACGCAGGGATAACTCTATGGCTAGACCAAGTTCCTCATGGATTTATCCAGTTGAGTTTTGCAAACACAGGCCTCGCATGCCTGACAGGCGTGCCTATAGATCTTACACTTACCCTTCCCACAACTGATATACTTCACCCCACTCTCCAAATGCTTTCCTGAAAATTCCATAGAGAAAACCACCAGTGTTAATTCAGACAGAAGGACAACAGTGGGCATAAATCCCTACTCCTCTCAGAAGCTCCACTGCAATTCTCATCTGTTCTGATTTGCAGATGACACTTCTCTAGGGGAAGGCTGCCATGATGAAAGGCCTCTCAGGCAGAGAGACTTTGACAAACTGTTCAACTGCTTCCATTAGTAAAGGTGACAAGTTCTCCTCCTGAGTACAGCAATCCCAAGCACCACCTCAGGCTGGGGACCCACTGGCTGAGCAACCTCTCTGCTGAAAAAAGATGTGGGGGAAATAGGTGCATTAGGCTGAACACGAGCCTGCAGCACTGGCTAATTATAAATAAGGCAAACTGCACTAGAAGTAGTGCCAGAAGAACATGGGAATTTACCACCTCCTCTGCCTGACACTAGTGAGGCTGCATCAGCATTACTGTGACCAGTTCTGGGCGTTCAGAAAGGATGGGGAGAGACTAGACAGTGATCTACAGAAGACAAATGAGA